TTTATTGTTCAGGCGGGTTTGTGTCGTTTCTCTCCTGCAGTCCCAGTGGCCACCGCCCATAGGTAAGAAAAAGCCAAAGGCCAAGAAGATTCCTGTGGGTAAATTCACGAGTTTTCCATTCCATGGCTGAAGCCATGAAAATGCAGAAAGCACATGGAGTAGGGTGGCAGAAGAAAAGGAAGGATAGGGAAGGACTCTGTATTTGTTCTCTCTTAAATGATTAATTTGAGCTAAAAGTTACCCTGCAAATTGAGAAGCAAAACCAACAAATAGGGACAAACTGAGATGGGAGTTGCAGAAAGACCTGGTGGACGTTATGCCCAATCATGCAATAAAAGAAACAGGATAGACGATGGAGCAGCTTTATCAGCACAAATTACTTCCAATCGCAGAAGCCGCAAGCGAGTTATGCGGATCCTCCTGAACCCCTGCCAAGCAAAACTGTCCGGCCTCTGCTGAACACCGGTGTAATTGGGGAAAAAAAAAAAAAGAATGAAACGTTTATCTGGCAAGTGCTTTCAAAAAGAGAAGGCGGCTGTTGGGAGCTGCTCAAGGGGCTGGAATGCTGGAGACGGTTCCAGGGGGACGGATCAGCTGTCAGAGTGCATACGAGGCAGGCAGGGATTTTTTAATAAAATGCAGTTTATCGCACGGTGATTACCACCTCCTATTTATACCGTATGAGATCATGAAAAACATGGCACATATTTTGTTACTCCTGGAAACACAAAATCAACTGACCAACCATGTGATAAATTGGCCCTTTTCACGCACTTTTACTTTGTCTTTCTAAACCTCTATTTCCAAACGTCTGTCACTTAGATAAAGCAAGCAATAAAAATCTACTAGAAAAATATTTTCTGTGCTCCCCCGCAAAAAGCAACCCCATAGTAGATAAGGATTATGAGTCCAAATTCCAGGGCTGTTCCATTTAACATGTAAATCTTAATTGTTCACAAGGAAGCACTGACACTCAAAGTATATAACACGTGAGAAAGGGAACTTCAGGGTCTCCAGAAAACGCATCATCTATTTCTAAGCTTTGCTGGTTACACGCAACAGGCATTAAAGACACAATGTGCTAAGGTATAAAGTATTTCAGGTAAGGTTTTATGCCTTAAAGAGCACGCCTTTCCCCGCTCCCCCTCAAATGTGGTTTGAAGGTGAAAGGCTTAGAGAGAGGAAATACCGCATTATTTCCGTGGTAAGATTCTGCAGTTGAATTCGGGATAATACGGTAAAAGACTTCATTAGCACTCTTTCAGAATGACTTGTATAACTTGCTTGTAGCTTTGCCAGTTATGAGTAATGCAACAATCACCAAGATACACCAACACCACCTTTGTACCACATTTCTTTCACACGTTGCCTGATGTCGACTGGACTCGGCCTCCTCGTAAGTGATCCCCCTGTCTTCAGCCCAGCAATCCTCGCCGAGGCAGGCCCACGCAGCCCGCGGGGCGCCGCACCTTTCACCTGCTCCTCACTGCACGGAAATGCTCCTTTTTGGTTGCGATGCTCTACGACTGGCCTGAGCAGAGTAGATTTGCAGTGCGGCTGCTCAGCAAAATCCATCGCCCCTGATCTTTTTCTTATTAAGCCAATGGTTAGCCATCCCCCCCGACAGCGCAAAATAATAACGCTACAAAGATAATTCGTACTGGGTGACACCCCGGTACAGTGTCTGTGTGGGACTGCAGCTCCACGATCATTAAAACCAGGTCTACACATCGCTGGATCACCCAGGAGTACAAATTTGATCGGGATCGGGCCGAGGCACGTGATCAC